TCGCATTCATCCGGACATAATTTCAGCGTCTTTAGTAACTTCTCGCATCTAAAAGCTGCATTCGGAAGCCCGAAATAGGTGCTTTATTCGGTTTTTTCAAATTTTGAAATTGTGGAGGGTTAAAAAAACGCATTTTTCTGGATAAATGCTAGCATAGTTTTACCGCATTTTAGAACATCCAACATCGAAAACACACGTTCGAAAGCTTGAAATCTTCCGTTTCTTCAGCGGTTTGAAATTTCCACATCAGCGCTTAAATCGGCACGCTGCTCAGCAAAGAGTGTGCAGGACTTCAAAAGACAAACAAACTTCCCCGGATAAATCCGGCGGTAGTTTCACCCCCTTTGAAAACTGCCAGCATCTGAAAACTGCGATTGAAAGCTCGAAACGCGGACTTTCTTGGCAAACCTAAAGTGTAAAAGTGGCATTTGACTTCGTCTCGGTTGGTGCTCAAGAGTGTGGAGATTCAAAAAACGACTTTTCCCGGATAAACCGGCCGGATCTCCGGCACCTTCAGCACCTTCCGACACATGAAAACTGCCCTTGAAAGCCCAAAACCTACCCTTTCTTCAACCGGCTGCCGAAGCCCCAATTGATTTCGGTACGAGGCTCATTGGAGGAATCTTCACAAAGCTCCTTATGCCCTGATTTGGAATCATTTCACTAGTTCTCCTTGATTTTAAGACGAAAAAACTATTCACTCTCGGCAAATTGCATGTTTGACCTCATATACCGTACAAACAATATGGCATGTAAATACAAGATTCTATTAATACTTTAAAAAGCATTTGATGTGCGTGAGCCGTCGATAAATAAGAAAAATAACGGTTTTCAGGGTCAATTTGAAAAAAATGCGCAACTGTTGTTTTAATCAAGCGAAACGCTGCACAAAAAAGCTCATTTATTCGGGTGGCAAACTTGAAACTTTTGGTTGAAAGGAGCGGCTTGGCAAAGACGATCAGCAAATCTGAAGGAAACGTTTTTGTCGCAAACCATGCAAGTTGCAATGACAAAGTGCACAATGCGTAGTGGCAAAATTTGCAATCTACAGTGGCAAAAACGCAAACGCTTTTAAGCTTAAAAAGCGCAACAACTGCAACAGTTTATCCAATGACTTTGCGCATTTTTCCCTTGTACTGGTCAAGTGCAGCTGAATCCATTGGAAATGCGACACTGAGCAGCTAATTATAGTGCGTTCACACTAATTTAAATCAAATGCGGGCCACATGAATTCCAATCTAGCGGGCAACGCGATCGGTTGTTTAATTAAATTTTAATTAACACAAACAGTCCATTTAAAGCCAATCAACCTTAAGCAGCGTGTGTGTTTTTTTTGCAGTTTAGTGCTTCCAGACCGCCAAAGAGCCCAAAAACGGGTCCGACAGGGAAATCGGCACGTCGTCCTGCCAGGGCTCCTCTTTGTAGTGTCGAAACGTCGTTGACGCTGACCAATCCCCGGTTCTTTCAAATGTTATTTGCCATCACCCGATTGGGCCGCTCACCTAGAAAAAAAGTCTGCATCGCTTTCCCGTAGGACTCTGAGGAACAGCTTAGTGCTTCGAAACTTTGACGCGAAGTGTACGAACATCGACATTAAAAAAACAATATAAAACGCGAAAGTGAACATGAATTCTGCCCAGAGGAACAACCTGAGGAAACTGTCTTTTTTGGGATTCAAAGCTTCGGTAAGTGATTTTAATATTTCCCATTTTCCACACTACATATCGTGTCCGAAAAACGTGCAGTCAGTCAAGCGTCTTCTGAGGATGACGAAAAGAACCCGAGCAAAGCATTCACGTCGAGTGCACTGACTAAATGTGCGCCCCACCCAGTGTCAAACCTGGATCGTCACCATGCCTACGCAGGGAGCAAAGGGCGCGGGCGGTAAACGCCCCACCAATCAGAGCTCCTAAACACTTGTTCATTGAACGAAGCGAGTCCACCGAAATAATTATCAGATCTTTCAGATGCGAATGCCTTCTCCAAATGGAGAAACTGGCAAGTTTATGCTTAATTTCAATTGAAACTTGAGATTTTTTAGGAGCGGGTCCCTGATCGCCATGATCGAACGTTGGCTGTTTTGGCTGGCAAAAATCCAGTTTTTGTTCCATTTATGGGGAATTTTCTGGACTTTCAGACCCAAATCTCTTCAATCGGTGTGGCAGTTTCCAAGTTGCTACTGTATTTCTGTTGGGAGCTTTGATTTTTTAAACACCGGCGCTTAATAGTTAAAAACATTCATTTTTGGGCCAGCGTTGACTTGTCCGGTAAAAGTTCGCCTTGGGTGCGATTTAACTGAAAATTTCACAACTGTTTGACTTAGATGTTTCCCTTAGATGGTGAAAACATCAAGTTGTTATCTAACTTCAGGCGGAAGTTATCAATTTTTGAAAAAACATTTTTTTAGTGAGCGAGTGTATTGAGAAATAACTGCACTTGTTGGGCCAACTTTGGCCTGGCTGCCAAAAATCAGGTTTGAGCGTCATTTTACTGAAATGTTCCGCATTTTCAGGCTCGAATGTTTGTGATTGATGGAACAAATTCAATTAAAAAAAATGAATGCGTGTCTTCATCCGGGCATTTATTTTCGGGCCCACAATGACTTGGTTGACAAAAATCAAGATTGAGTGCGATTCCACTGAAACTTTCCGGACTTTCAGGCTGAAATGTCTTCTAAAAGTGTCGATATCCTCAAGTCGCTACTCAATCGCGTTTGAAAATTATCAAGTTTTAAATTAATGCGAGGAATTGTGCCGAAACATTCCTGGTGTAGCCCGCATTCAGGTGGCTGGAAAACTTCAGGATTTTGCGACATTTGACTAAAACTTCCACAGCGTTCCGACTGAGATGTTTTCTATGGATGGTCAAAAGGACAAGTTCCTACTTGATCTGGGATTAAAGTGGCACATTTTTGAAAGCACGTGGATAAATGCATAAAGAGACTCAGTTTTAGGCCATTAGTAACCGGGCTGGCAAAAATCAGCATTTAACGCGATTTAACTGAAACTTTCCCGGGTTTCAGGCTCAAGTGTCTTCTATCAACTACAAAACCTACATGTTGCTACTTCAGGGCGATTAGAAACTATCCTTGTGTAAAAACACCGGAAAAACTGTGTTAAAACGTTTATCGTTAGGTCAGCTTTGCCTCGCCAGGTAAAATTTAGCATTAGGAACTTTCGGGGCTTTTTGCTTCAAACCTCTTCTATCGGTGGTCAAGATTTCAAGTGTGTCAATGTATGTTTGAAAATGTGCATCGCCAGCCCTAACTAAGCTGTAAAAATAAACTGGTTAAAAAAGGATAAAAGTGTCAATCTGTGTATAAAAATTTGTGTTTCAATCACCGAATAAGGGGGAAAGTTCCGAAGAATTTCATCTAGAAGACCAAAGTCTCTTTTACATATTCTGCAAGTTTCGATTTTTCGCCCTTATCGGGAATGTCTGGGGAAATTTTCAAATTTTCATGATTGAAACTTTTTATGAGGAAAAGTGTCGATGTATGTGTAAAAATTTGAGTCTTGAGTCCTAATTCAGCTGCAAAATTGCGGACACTATCTGAGCAAATAGGAAAGGTCGTTTTATAAGTCCTGACAGTTTCGATTTGCCACCATCATCAGGAATTTTAATGGAAATGTTTGAAACTAGCTGATTGTCAAGAGTAAAAACGTGGATCATGACACAAATAAAAATTCGTAAGTTGATTACAAATGAAACTAGGCACATGGGGATTGTTCATAGAAACTAGAAAAACTCTCTTTTTTAAATGCTGCGCAGCTGGATTTTCCACCTCCCAAGTTGGATTTTTCAGAGAATTTTCAAATTCGGTAATTTTTTTCCAGCAATAGTGTCGATTTGTTTAAAAATGTCCAATTAATACCCAAATTGAGCTTCAAACTGGCGGAAATCCTGACCGCAAAAGGGAAAACGCATCCTATAAATGCTGAAAGTTTCAATTTTTCAGCACGATCAGGGATTTCAGGGCAAATTTTTTACATCAGCTAGTTTTTCAAGAGTTAAAGTGTGACTGTTTGCATAGAAACTCGCATTCGAAGCATAAATAGAGCAGAAATGTTTGAAAGAATTTCATTTGAATGAGCAAAGTCTTCTTTATAGAGCGTGAAACTTTCAATTTTCCTCGTTCATCAGTTAAATTTTTAGGCGGAAACTGTAGATGCATGTTTGAAAATTTGCATCTCAAGCCCAAAAATTGCGTGAAATTTCATCGGAAACCGGAAATTCTTTTTTAGCTTCAGTGAGTTTCAACTTTTTTTCAAATAATTAAAAATTCTATATTTTAAAACGCATTTTTACAGGATCTTCCAATGAAAAAACTTTTATTTTTTCTTGACTCCTTAAGTGTTGAAAATGGGACTCGCTGTACCCAATATAATGAGCTTCAGAAGTGTTTCGAATGACTCGATGAAAGGATGCTCTCACTTATCGAGTGTGAACAATAAACTACGCCCCTGCTTACCATTCCGGGATAACAAAGCTATTTTTAGCAACGGGAGATAACAAGAGAATTCGTCATTTTTCACTAGCGATCCGCAGGAAAAGTTTACTTTATTGTAATGCCACACCATCCTTGCTCCAGGGCGTTTTTGCCTGTTTACGCCCCGCATATTATGCTTCTGTGTTATTGAAACCACCTGGGGAATATTTCCACGCAACCTGATCCTTGTAGGCCCTTTGCCTTAAGAAAAAGCCACTCTGTGTCTGGTAAACAATGTTGTGATTGAATGATGATCATCTTCCCTGAAAGTTTTCTGCACAACTTTTTGGGGCGGTCCACCCTACACCGGTTTTCCTGCGGAACTTAGTCTCAGTTGCCCTTAGCCCTGCTTAGGTAAGCGGAAGGGTGGCATTGACCTTGTTTTCGCATCGCTGAAATATTGCTCACTTGTGGAATTTTCGGCTGAAAATCGCAGCTTTTTTTCTAGTTTTTTACCGAAAACAGCTTTTACATGCACGAATAAGGTGTTTGGGTAAAAGTAGTGGCTGTAGTTTCGCTGTTTTAACAAACTTCCGCTAGAGAGTGAAGTGAGAGACGTGAAGAGTGCAGATAAACTTTAACGATTTTTTATGCTCAGTGTTGCTCATTGATGTGGTGAGTTTGAATTGGCTGAGAGTTCAACTCGCAAAATTACACTGAATTGAGCTTCGCCATGCACGATTCGGTCGATTTTGTTTAGGTCTGGAAAGTCAATTTTGAAAAA